CTGCCATGCTTGTGCACACAATCACACTCATCACCTCAACATACAGTTCCAGCTACTATGCAGTCTGATAAATCCTCAGTCTTGCAGTGCCATCAAAATAAGTGTATTTACACATTCACAGTCCCAGAAACACCCAACAACACAGGACTGTCTGTACCAGAGCAGTAGAGGCAGTAGGAAGTTGCAGGAAGTCTTGTGTAATGTTGGTGGTATGAGATAAAGAGAGTTGCTCATAGTGCAAGCAACTAACTGATCTAGTACTGGTCTAGTTCTAGGAAAGGGTGTAATCACAGAATCAAAGAACTGTTTAGGTTGGAAAAGGGCAGTCCAACCATTAGTCCAGCACGGCCAAGTCCACCCTGAACCTTGTCCCCAAGTGCCACATCCACACTTGATCTACACTAATCACTTAAACTTCAGATTCTCCGGGTCTAAACACACTTGTCTTCTGGTCATTTGCATTTCAATCATTAAAATATCTCAGTGAATATCACAGCAAAGAGGGCAGAAAACCAGTGTCAGTGATCCAGTGCAATATACATCATCAAGCGATTTCCTGTGCTGTTAGGAGACCCTTCCAAGGGTGCTCTGACACATTTTGGGCCCCAGATTGGAAGCCAAACCCAGAGCTCAGCCCTGAGAACACCACACAAGTTATGGGGACAGTTGAATATCTCAGAAGGTTCATCTTTTCACATGGATTAGGAAGAAGAGTTGCCCATTACCAGAGGACTGATGTGGAAATTTTGAATTCTTGTCTAGTTAGTACAGTAATGTGGAGAGCATGTAGCATCTGATTTATCATGTAACCTTCACAAAATAATTCTTCATACAGGAATAGGGACCTGCCAAATTTCTCTGTATCTTCAGCAGCCACTCACAGATCCTTGGAGAAAGACAAGTCACTCAGGAACATATACTGATTGTGGCCTTGTCTTCCTTTTTTGGCTGAAGAGTAGCCTCCTACCAAACAGGCTGCACTCAAGAGAGGTGGAAATTACGGAGCTGAATTCCTTTCTTGCCATGTCCGGTACTGAAGTCTCGTGTAAAAATTTCTCCATGCTCATGCTGTTCAGGGAATTCAGGTTCCTCAAGTTTGCTGCTTCAGGCCCTTCACCAAGTGGCTCCTCCTTTCTTAGCAGCTGAGCTGTCAGGACAGAAATAACACTTGCAAATAAAAGGGGGCTACTAGACTGCTAAAGCAACTAATGTAACACACAGGGGAGCCTCCAACTACTCCACACAGAATAGGCAAATGATATTTTGGGTTCTAGTACTTACTGTCAGTGAGTGCTGCATGAAATCACTAATTAGGGTGTAAAAGAAAAGCAGTGTTGACTTACCTGGTTCAAATACAGCTGTGAACATAGATGAAAATAAAGCTGTTTAAGAACTGATCTATGACAATACACATAATACAGCATCCTTTGAAGGGTTAAAATAACCCCAAAAATTCAATATGATTGTGTAGAAATAAGGAATCAAAGGACAGCAGTTCAGTTTTAGTAGACTAAAGACCACTTGATACCATTAAAAATTACCTGGGCAAAAGTCTGCCAATTATCAGAAAAGAACTAATAAAGGGTAGCAGTCGCTTCATCATAGAAGCCAAACAGGTTGATCAAACATGATTACTTTTCCTGATAAATACCGAGGACACATTGTCTTTCAAATAACTGAAGTGCAACTGAGCAGCTTACAGCTTCCCTGGTACAGGTTCCTGCCTTTTTTAAAGGTTGGTGTAACAATAGCCTTTTCCCCCTCATCTGGGACCTTCCCTGGGAGTTATCATTTTTCACCAATGGTAAACATAAACCTTGCAGTTATGTGGGTGAATTCCTTCAGCAACCTTTGATGAGTCACAACCCAGCCCCATGGATGTGAATACATTCAGTTTCTCTTAGAAAGTTCAGCTTCACTAAGAAGCAAGGTCAGGACTTCCCCACTTTGATTGTCCCTTTCTTTCTCAAACTCTATTGGAAGATTCTGACGTTGAGGGACAAATTTTGCCAATGAAGACTGACACAGAAAAGGTGCTGCATACAAGTGCTTTTTGAATCATCTCTCACTAGGTGGTCACCCATATTCAGCATCAAACACACATTTTCTCTGAACTCCCCTCTGCATCATCCATGCAGAACTGTTATGCTCAATGTTTGAAGTACTCAAGCAATGTTTTATAGTCCTTATTTTGTTGCCAGTCCTTGCCTCCACCTCTTACATACTTTTCTGTTTTAATTCATCAAGAAGTTTGCTTAGCTAAGATCCAATTCCCAATCCTCCTGCAGAACAAGATAGTTTGTTCCTGTGCTCTTCATAATTTTCCTTTAAACTCTAACCTCCTCTCCTGGCATTCTCTTTCACAGCTGCTGCCATGTGTGTGCTAACTGGCAGTTCCCTAAATGCAATGAATTCTAGTCTTACGAAGTCTAGAGTGCTAATTCTGTTGCTTATCTTCCCAGCTTTCCACTAGATCCTTCATCCAGTCATCATGTGTTTGCTGCAGCCTAAGGTGCCATCTGGGATCATATTTATCACTAGTTCATCCTTACTTCCAGCACTCAGCATTGCCTGGCCAGTATTTATGTTGGGATGTTGACATTAGCGCTGCCTAAGAATTTCTGGCATAGCTTGCCTGGTGCTGTTGCCCTCACAGCGGATGTCCACATGGCTGAAAACCTCTCTAAGGCAGAGGAGACTTGTGACTTTCTACTAGTTGTAGAAATCTGCCTCCACTGCTTTGTCTTGGTCGGCTGGTCCATGACAGACCCCATCACAATATCCCTCATTTTCCTCCTATCTCTGACAGAATGTTCTGTAGCCTCACATGGAGCATTGCACAAGCAAGGAGCACTTTGACATAAAGCATAAATCCTTCTCATTTCCCCTGCCTATTCCTCCTAAACAGTCCCATGACCATGTTCCAGTAGTGCACATTATCCCACATTATCTCCATAATTCTGCTCATGTTTCCCTTCTTCCTTGTAAAATTCCTACATTTGCAGCTATTCCTCTCTTGCTTCTGGGATTTTGTGCTTTTACCATAACAAAACTGATTTCAGACCCTTGTCATCAGGTTAGTAGTCTCATTGCAAAGATTTCTTTCCTTCTTAGTCCTCAAATACAGATGTCCAAACATCTAGGGGAACTTACAGAACTTATAGTTTCCAAACATAGTGTGGAAACTCCTACTTAAAAATCCATCTAGATATCACAGGACTGCCCAGTGAGTAATGCAATGCCATGGTATTGAAAGGGCTTATGGAGAAATCCAGGGAACTACAGTGCAGTGATGAGTGCACTGGACAAATGTGGGCTGAGACCCAGAAACCTCCTATGCCCTGGGCTGATCCCACAGCAAGGGCAGAGGGGAAGGGGGAGATTCTGCTCCTCTGCCCCCTCAGGTGAGAACCCCCTGCAGAGCTGCCTCCAGCCCTGGGGAACAGCACAGGGAGGGCATGGAGCTGCTGGAGCAAGTCCAGAGGAGGCACCAAGAGGATCAGAGGAATGGAGCAACTCTGCTGGGAGGAAAGGGTGGGAGAGTTGGGACTGTTCAGTCTGGAGAAGAGAAGCTTTGGGGTGACCTGATTGTGACCTTCCAGTTCCCTGAAGGGAACCTGCAAGAAGGATGGAGAGAGACTATTTACAAGGGAATGGCAGGACAAGGGGCTTCATGCTGACAGAGAGTAGGTTTAGATTAGATATTGGGAAGAAATTCTTCCCTGTGAGGGTGAGGAGGCCCTGGCACAGGTTGCCCAGAGAAGCTGTGGCTGCCCCATCCCTGGAAGTGTTCAAGGCCAGGCTGGATGGGGCTTGGAGCAACCTGGGCTAGTGGAAGGTATCTCTGCCCATGGTAGGGGGAGATGGAATTAAATGATCTTTAAGGTCCCTTCCAACCCAAACCATTCTACGATTCTGTGATTCTTTGAAATCAGTAGAAATTATAACATAGAACAAAATTAATGGATACAGGGAAAAGTGACAGTCTTTCACATGTATTTAAAAGGGGAAGTCTCACTTCACAAACCTGTTTTCTCCTTTGAAGGTCAGATAAAGCACATAGATTTTACTATCAAGATTACACTTCTAATGCTAAATAAGTCTGTTCCTGAGTGTGATCTCTGGTATCAGGTGAAATGGTGTGAGTTGCTTTGCAGTCAGCCCTCGGTGCTCCTGGCCACCAGAACAGCATCAGCATCAGCACTGTGCAACCCTTGGCTTGCGGCCCTGCTCTTTAGGAAAACCTACTTTCTCTTTCACTCCAAATAAACAATAGCATGGAGGGAAAAAACTGCAGCACTGGCATCTATGTGCACATGGTTCACAAAAATGGAACATCAGCTGTCAGAGCAGCTTTCAAAGGGAAAACCCCTCACCCTCTGCACTAGACTCAGAGGGATTAGAAACTGAGAAAGAAACTGTGAGAAAATGGATAGAAAAGGACTGGAAGCCCAATATGGGAAGGTTGGGGAACTTCAAGGAGAAAACAAAAACTAAACTTTCGCCCTTTTCCTCTAGATGGTATTTCTGGAAGACAAATATTATATTAATTCATATTTGTGGGCAAACTAACTTGAAGAATTTTATTCCATAGATTTAAAATTCTTGATCATATGGACACTCAGATAAGGATCTTGCAAAAAGCTCTGGGGTACACACCAATTTTGGATTTGTTTTAATTCACAGAGATTATCAGTCCCACTGAGGTGATAAATTGCTGTCACATGGCCTATTGGGCATTCCAGGCTCTTGCAAAGGAATACTCTCTAATTTGAATTACCAGATCCAGACTCCACGAAGATTTAGCTCCACAGTTCTCACAGTTCCATGAGCTAGGCCATAGAAAACCAGCCAATTTCCTCTCTCCAACCATGGGGCAGCCAAGATGACACCTGTCCTTGGGAAGAGGGATCTGTTGAAAGAGGCAGCAATGTCCTCATGCAAAACAAAGAGAGAAATGAATCCTGCCAACCACTGACATTCTGTCACTTCTGTTTCAGGGCCTGGAGTCCAGTAGAACTAGAAGCAAACCACAGCACAGGCAGAAGAGGCAGAATCAGAGAAATCCCTGGATAAAGATGGTCCTGCACAGACATAAGGTGTGGGCAAAGTGCTGATGTGATGACATCCAAGCATGCTGAAAACAGGTCCCATCCCACTTTCTGTAAGTCCCTACAATGTGATTTCCCTTCCGTTTTGTTCAGTGAGCATGAGCTGAGGAGTTCTGGGGAGAAAGAGGGGAACTCATGAAGACTGATGAAGTGTGAAAGTGGAGCACTATCAAAGCTTTTGAGTTTGTGGCCCCATGGAAATCTCACTCTCTGGTCTGCTTAGAGCAGCAGCAGTAGCCTTGTAACTTCCCTAGTTAGAAAGAAAGTCCAAGACCAGTATCTCTATGTCATTGGCACAGAACCAGCCACCTTCAGACCTTCTGCTTAGGTCCTCCTTCCACCCTGGACCAAGCTGATCAGGACCTCCTTGTCTAGTTGCAACACCAGAAAAAGAAGCAAGTCTCTATGCTCCTCTTCTGGCTCACTGATCTTCTTTTCTGCCCAGAGAGAAACAAATAAAGCAAACCCAGCTAGAACGTCGGAACCAACATGCAAAGTTCAAGAAGGTATCTTCATATTTGTAGGCAAACTAACCCGAGGAATTTGCTTCCACAGATTTAAAAATCCTGTTCATGTGGACACTCAGACAGGTATATTGCAAAAATCTCTGGGCTGCACCTCAAATACTGGGGGCAGTTCTGGGCCCCTCACTGCAAGAAATTCATTGAGGGGCTGGAGCGTGTCCAGGGAAGGGAACGGAGCTGGGAAGGGTCTGGCACACCAGGAGTGGTTGAAGGAACTGGGGGGCTCAGCCTGGAGAAAAGGAGGCTCAGGGGGGACCTTCTCACTCTCTGCAACTCCCTGACAGAGGAGGAAGCCGGGGGGGAGAGGGGGGGGGGCAGGCTCTACTGCCAGGGAAGAAGGGACAGGAGGAGAGGGAATGGCCTCAAGTTGTGCAAGTGCAAGTTTAGGTTGGATATTGGGGAAAATTTCTTCATCTGAAAGGGTTGTCCAGCCCTGGCACAGCTGGCAGGGCAGGGCAGGAGTGGAGTTCCCATCCTAGAGGGATTAAAAGATGTGTGGGGACATGATTTAGTGGCAGACTTGGCAATGCTGGGGTAAAGGTTGAGTGGAATGATGTTAGAGGTCTTTTCCAAACCATATGGAGACCTCACAACAGCTTCACATCTCTGAGAGCACAGGCAGCAGGGAAGAAATTATTCAGCTGGAGGAGCAATTGAACTGATTTCTTTTCCTGCTTTTCTTTCTGCAGGCTCTTTCTCCTTAGGATGCTGAGATACCAGTGTCATCTCTTTCACTTTTCCTATGTCTGCTAAACTGTTTGGCATTATGTCCAGAATAGTGAAGGGCAGTCATTGCCAAGTCCTTCCCCTGCTTATCACTTACTGTTTGCAGGAATGTTTCAGAAAAGGATGTAATTTCATCAAAGATTGCCTAAATTCACTTCTACTGGGAAATTAGTATTTAGTATCAGTGCCCTTATATTTCAGGGAAAGAAAAAAATTATTTAGTTCAGTGCCTTGATTCTGCCTTAAAAACATGTGAGAACTAGCTATGGAAAATCACTTTCTGGTCTAATGTTTTTTCTTGCCAGACTCTGTAACTCATACAGAGTAGAGTAGTATCCCCCCAAAATAAATGGCAATATTTCAATTCCAGAATCAGGACATTAACATATAGCATTTTTTATGTAAAAAAACCCCCAACACCATCACCCTAAAACAGCAAAGGCTGGGCTAGTGACAGACCCTTTCCTGGGAAATACAAAAATCATGTGGGTTAGAACTACACTTATGATTCTTCCAGAAAGTGCAATGATGTAGGAAGGAGTCTGAAGTTTCCTGACTTGCTCATGATTTCCCCACTGCCAAAAAAAGGATCGCAAATCCTTCCAGGGCTTTCTCTCAAGTGCTCTTGTTGGCCATGTTGTTAGGGTAGGGCCTGCCTAGAGAGGTCAGTTTGCTCTGCAGCCTGTGATGGACGTTCTGACAGGGAACACTCAGCCCCTGCTGCAGCAGCTTTTCTGCTGCCTCTGTGTAAAATGAGAGCTGCCAGGAATGTCAGCACAGGGCAAGCAGAAATGTCAGAACAACGCTCTGTAGCAACACTGCTCATCCCTGTACTTCTACTAGGATGTGGCTGGACACTGAGCCCCAGAGATGGTAAGAGCACATTTTCCATGTTAAAAGGTTATTTATCAATTCAGTATTGCTCCATTAAGGTGCATGCTTTCAATATTATGTGCAGAATGTGCTCAGTCCATAATTTTGATGTGACATCTGGTTGGGAAATTTGCCACTGAACTAACGTTTCTGATAAATATGGCTGAGAGAAGCAATAGATGATTTCCTAGGAAAAACTACTGAGGACCATAACTAATGAGACAAAAGCTGCAGGTTGAAAAGCGGTGTGGACCATTCATTCTTTACCATGGCAAATGTAAGCAAAATTTCCGGGTCTAAGTGTGAGCACCTGTGAAGACATGCTGATGTCACAGGCTGGCCATGGAGGGGCTGTAATGGCCTTGCTGTCCCCTGCTCCTTCTGCTCTATTCAGAAATTAATTTCTGCAGATCTTAATGCAGCTGTGATTTACCCTCACTACAAGTCAAGGAAAGTGAATGCTCCTGTCCCAGGGGGGAGTTTTAATGTTACATTTATTTCCTAAGGAGCTTTCCACAGAGTGGTATTCTTGGAAGTCCTCAGAATGAGTTAACTGAACATGAGAGGCAAATGAACCCCATAATGTGGCATTAGAGGATGGGCAGCTTTCAAATGTGAACCACAGGTGCACATTACACACACTCCTCCTGTGTCCACAGCCAACAGCAGTGGAAAAGCTTGGAGTAGGAGATTCAGTCCAAGGAGATGACCCTTGGGATGCCCTTTCAATCCCCCACCAAAGGAGCTGAGGGACTCCTGTTACAGAGCAGGTGAGTGGGATGGGCAGGCTGGAAGACAGCCTGGGAGAAAAAGGTAATTGAAGCAGCAAGTAACTGTAAAATGAGGAAGGAAGGGGAATGAAAAGAAAGTAAGGAAGAAGCATAGTATTAACCCCTGCAGGAAACTGTATCATAATCTAAAATAGGCTGTGCTTGTGAGATCAAAGGTCCATGTAGCCAAACTTTCTGTCTTTGAAAGTGATGACCAGGAAGGAGCATCCAGATAAAATGGCACTTCTCCCAGACTCTCCCAACTTCCAGTAATTTGTGTTTATGGAGTCTCTGAGCAGAATGCAATGTCTGGGTCTTTAACAGCTCATGGTGAATTTTTAACTGCTGAATTTGTCCAAGCACTTTTTGAGCCCATGAAGTGTTCTCTGAACACATGGAACGTTACTGTGATCCTCCACTGACTTAGACTAACCCAGAGAAAGCAAATATCCACTTATGCAGTTCAATTCCCTTTGTTCTGATCTTTGACTGACGGTTACAAACTTACATGTTTTCTGCACTTCAGCCAAATTTGCATATGAAGCCACATATTTGAGGAAGTAAAAATAGTGATTGAACTGCAGAGAGATCTCCCAGGTGCCAAGGCAGACAGTGCTATAGTTAATCTGCAGGACATATTTATACTACAAGTAGAATATTTTCAAGGGAATTGTCTTTCCAACCAGTAAGGCTCCTGTCACTTAAGAGACTCCACCACAGCTTCCCGTGTAACATCAGCAGATAGATTTCCTTGGTGGTCAGTCTAAACATTTCTTTGATTGCTCTCTGCATCCATCCTAGATACCAAGGGGAGGATACAAATCCCTGCTCTTCCTGAAGGACAAATCAGTTGTGTAAAGGAGAACAGCTCCAGCAGAAGACAATGACAATGACATTGTCATGCCAACCCACAGCCAAGGTGCCAAGGAGTGGTGGCCCATGTGAGAGATCAGCATCTGCAGATTCTAACAGTGCTTACATCTCCTGTCCTGTCCTACTCACCCTACTAAAGTCTACCTGGGACAGACCTTTCTCTCCATGGGCTTGGAAATATTTGAGTTTATCCCAAAACAGAAGTGAATGCCTTGTCCAAAGGAGGATGGGACATTTTTTACATCTCCATCAGGACCATGGCCTGAGAAAACATATCCCAAATCTGCTGCAGCCAAAGCTGCAGTGCCAACTTCACTTCATCACCGTTAGCTGAGCAACACAGGCATTGCATTCCTCCAAAATCAGTTCCTCGGGTCCCTCAAAGTGCCCTTGCTCCCTGAGAAGTGCCCTCTCAGGTGCAAGGTCTCAGAGCAGAGTTGTGTCTTGACTGCACTGCAAAGACTGAGTTTCACCCATTAGTGCCCTGATGCGTGTATGGTGTCCTCAGTCCTATCTGTGTAAAAACTTTGAATTCAAGAGAACTAATACATGTAGAACTGGGAAAAAGAAATGAAGGACCTCTGTGTATGCCCTTTTCCTGGTTCTATGGCAGGTTCATTGGTAAAGTCATGGTGAATTCAACTGTTGAGTTTACTTCCTCATACTCTTTGTCAAGAAGTTTTTTTCCTTTAATACAGAATATTTTCAAAATACTGTGTAACTGGAATGGTCAGCTCAGGAGATGCAGATGCCCCTCTAGCGTAGGAGTTCGCAGGTCTGAGAAGTGTGTTCTCTTGGAACACAGGCACTTCATCTATTTTAAACTTTCTCTCTGAGATAGTCCTTTATGGCCACTTTGGAGCTGTGTTTCCCCTGGGGTCAGTCAGCACTCAGCAGCTGCCAGGCAGCCCAACCCCACAGACAGTGTCAATGCCAAAGGCTGTCATCCTCTAGGTATGGCAATAGGTATCCCAGAGGAAGGAATGTTTGCTTTCCCTCCCCTGGGAATGCTATTTGGATCTCAGAAATTTATCATAATTTATGGCCTCCCCAGGTGAATATTACTGTTAGTTCAGCATGAAAGAAAACGTGATATTGCTGGTTTTTCTCTATGTTCTAGCTATTTGTGATATGTCTGAAGCTGGCATATCACTTAAGTTCATATTGTACTATTAGAGGGGTTTTTTTACCAGTTAAAGAATTCTGAAAAAAAAGTATCATAATAGGCCAATAAAAACAACAAGAGTTCTCTTTTTAAAAGGGCGTTTACAGTGTTTCTTAAATTAAAGGCACATTATTTATTTATCAATTTGGAAAAATTAATTTTAAATATCCCTTAAAATGTATTCCCCAAACTAATGTGATGTTCAGGCAAATAAACAGAACTCTAAAATGAGAACTCTTTACAACTGGAAAAGAAGCTTTTAATAGATAAAAGCCATATTTCAGATATTAGAAATTAATATTTCTAGGAAGCAAGAGAGGGATTCTTCATCAGAAATTGTAGTGATAGGACAAGGGGGAATGGCTTCAAACTGACAGAGAGTAGGTTTAGATTGGATATTGAAAAGAAATTCTTGCCTGTGAGAGTGGCGAGGCCCTGGCACAGATTGCCCAGAGAAGCTTGGACAGAGCTTGGAGCAACTTGGTCTAGTGGAAGGTGTCCCTGCCCATGGCAGGGGGTGAAACTGGATGATCTTTAAGGTCCCTTCCAAACCAAACCACTGTGGAATTCTATGATTTTATATTAACATGCCTATGCAATTTTGGGCATTATGATGCAAAACCTTCTCCAACTTTATAGCAGGAACAGTAATTGACTATGAAATGTAAACATAAAAATAGATATGATGCTCATCACAGTTTCAGTTGCAAGAAAGTTATTGAATTTTTCTATAGAAGATCAGATGATACCATCCATATCCTTGAGAGGTGCTTGTCTAGAACAGATCCTTAGAAGCACAGATTAAAAGAGATTCTGCAATATTATAGATACTCTGTTTTACCATACAGTTTTCCTCACTCAACTATTTCCTTAATATTAACACCAAGTCCTTTTAACTTAAAATTAAGCAGTTATGATGCTGGTGATAGAACCCTCCATGTGTCCTAATGAAACTTATTTTCACTTGAAAAGATTTTTTCATACTTCCACACCCAGACTTTACTTTGCTCATCTCTTGACTTATAAAATTAATTTCTATTCATACCTTTTTCTAAGTCGTATTCTTCATACTTGTCATTTTGGCTCCTCTTCTCCTTACTCTTCCTTACAAGAATATTTTCCTTTTTTCAGAAGAGAGCTACAGAGTGTGCTCTATTCAAAATACTTTAGGCTGTGTTTAAGATAACCCACTGCCTAAAGGGAGCAAACATTAAGCAGCAGTGCACCATATAAAGAATACTTGTACTAATATTGGCAATACTTAGATTCGATTACTATAATGAATTGAATAACTAAGTAACTTTCACAAGTGCTTGACATTGTTAAGTGTGTAAAAACTTGTGACCCCAATTGCTTTTCTCCCTGGCTCAAGGGTCAAACCACATGCATTTCTGTCTGATTTCATCCTCCCAAAGTACTTTAATTCTCTTCATTAAATTTCCCACTGAAAATTACAAATATTTTTTCCAATTTTCCAGATCTGCCTTTAAGTTTGATCCCATTCCATCCTGCTAAAATGCTTGGAAGTCTCTTTTCCCAAGAAACACAGCAGCACTCTCTGCTTCTGTCACCTCAGGGTGTTTTCTTCCAGCACTGGTGAGCAGAACATTCCCAGATGTTCTTTGGCCCATGCCACCTGACTTTGTTCTGTCCCAGTGGGGAGCAGATGAAACCGGCTGGGTGCTCTGGTTGCCTTTGAACCCCTGTGCTGTGATTTGCTCCCAGTCCGTGGGCCCGGCAGTTGCAGCAGGTTTAAAGCCCCTCGGCTGAGTGAGGCCGAGCGGCTGCTGTGCAGAGGAGCAGCTGCCCAGAGGAGGGTCCCGTGATGGCTCCAGGCTGCCATCCCCTGGCAGTGGGGCCTGGAGCAGAGGGGGAGATCGGGGCCGCCCCGCCGAACTCCCTGGGACTGACAGGGGCCGGGTGGGGCCGGGAGAGGCTCCCCCGGCTCCCCCCGGCGATAATTCCATCGTCTTTCTGCCAAGGATCCCTGACGGAACTTGTCTGTCTTTCCGTGTCGGGTGACAAGGCCCAGGCTGAGGATAAAGCTGATGGGGCCGAGGCCGTCAGAGCAGCAGCGCCAGGGCTGAGGCGACAGGCACAGTCCGCGCCCAGCTGATGGCCCCGGCCTGGGTGTGCTCTGTCCGGTGGCCCCGGGGCCGGAGCCGGCAGGGACGGGCTTTCCGGAGCTCTGCAGAGGGCCCGGGCAGTCGGGCTGCAGGCGGGGCTGGGTCTCCATGAGCACCGTCTCACGGCCACCAGCCTGGCCAGGGCTCCTCCTTCAGCCCAGATACCGCCGTGGCCTTTGAGGGATCTCTGGGCTTCGACCCTACAGCCTTCGCTCAGCGAGTGCTGGGAAAACACAGCTTGAGCAAAGGGATATGGCCCCTGCAAGCGCTGCCGAACCTGGGAGCAAGCCCTGCCTCTGCCTTCTTCCTTCTTCCTCACCCAGACTGGGACTCCAGGGTGGAGGCTGGAAAATGCTGCATTTTCAGAGCTACAGCCCAGCCCGCCTTTTCCATGGGTAGGTTTACAAGAGGGGGGATGCGCCCCCGACCCCAGTGAGCCCCAGCTGACTGCTGGAAGTACCTGGGCAGCTGTTGTGTTCCCTGTGGGACAGCACGTCCCAGGAGAGAGGGGAGAGCGCCCAGGTGCTGGGTTGGCACAGCACGGGCTCCAAAGGGGCCACTCTGGATTCAGACTCTGAGCAGGGAGAGCACACTCGGGCCGCAGTCTGACATTTAACCTTTCAGCTGGGAATGGAGTTGTGCTGGAGCAAGTCTCCCTGGGGTAAGAATAGCATCTGCTGTCTTGGGACACAGCACAGTTGTCCAGCTCCTCCACGGCAGTACACGGCACTGAGACACAGAAGGCAGCCTACCCTCCCAGGAATGTCTCAGGCACTATTAGTGGAAGTGAATCATGCCCACAGACAGGCACGACCCTGAACAGGAGTCTTAGGAGA